TGCAGAAATGCCGAACCGGAAACGTGCAGAACTGCGGAATTTGCAGAAATGCCGAAATAACGACAACGACTTGATAGGGATTGATCGCTTAGCCTCACCAGCGGAATTTCTGCATTTCGGCATTTCTGCACATTCCGCACTTCTGCATTTCTGCATATTCCGCGGTTTTTGAAATCGATAGACACATTTTCTTCTTCTGCAAGTTCCGCGGTTCTCCCAATTCCGCATGTCTGCAAATTCCGCAGTTCTGCACATTTCGGGTTCGGCATTTCTGCATCATGTATGAACGCAGCCTAACGAAGGCGCTGCGCCTTGATAAGTGGCAGTTATGGCGCGTCCGTAGTTGCCCCGCCCCAAAACTAAAAGGCCATTCCCTGTCACAAGTTGAGTCTTTACAGCTAAGCGTTTTTCTTTTTCTTTTTTTACTGTTAGCTGGCATTAGCATGAGATGAGTCAACGAAACGACTAGTCAGCCAGAGGCGGCAGCATATCGCTTACTGACCTAAAACGAGTGGGTCAGGACAACCCGTACAGTGAGGCTACCAGGGGTCATTACTTGGCATGTTCTCCATGACTGCTTTTCCTCCCTGTAGAGCCACTTAGCGGCTATCGGTTTGTAATTGAACGTAACCACCCACAGTAGGCAGATCGTTTGCCTTTAATGGACATACTTTTCTTGTCACCCATTTTCCTACACTTCAATTCTCCTATTTTCGCGCGGCAAAGCTGACCGCAGCCCTACTTTTCATTTCCGAAGGCCCCTCCCCTGGTTCCTGGGCCCCCATAAATCCCTTTGCTAGCCTTTTTCACTCATTTCTTGCCGATGCACTTTGAAGCTGTTTAGCACTTCTCTCCATCACTGAGATAGAAATATCGATATGTAATACTCCTTGCCTTTCGCGAACGTGAATATTTATTTTGAATGGAACTGAATCGGCTTATAACGTATCCTTCTTATTGCAGATGTTTTGGGAGGAAGAAAGGAAACTCGGTGAAACAAAAGAGGAAACAATCGATTCCTTTATCAGTGCTAATAAGCTAACTGATATTTTGGAACTTCCGTATACACTACAGGAACTATGGGGAGGAAACAAGAAGCTTATAGATTAGTACGTTTTTATACTTTTCTCTGCTTAGCTTTATAACTTTTATTGTATCAAGTATTTTACGTCTTTTTGATGTATATAGAGCGTCTTGTTAGGGAAATTCACGCTAGCAATAAAGTGCTCAAATCAGAATAACATAATCCGACGCAGAGGTTTTCCTGTTGTTTAACAGGATCAGACGGTGCTAACGTAGTTGGGAACGCGAATCTAGCAGCCAAATCAGAATAAAACAAACAAGATTCACCGGGAACTTGCTGAAGAATTCCACAGAAGCTAAAAATTTGATTTTTTTGTAGTCAACAATAACAGTCAACGACAAACATGCAACAAAATTTTGTAGTTTAGGCAAGAACCTTGCAGCCTAAAACTGTTTCTTTGCACTTTTCAGTGTTAACTGTTTTAACTTTTGAATATAGCTAGGGCGAAGTTATATTCATGTCCTAAACACGAAATTACTTCTATTTTGCCGAGGAGGGAGCAGAAGAGCAGATGAGTCATCGCTCGCCGCGAGGCCCCTCCCGACTACGTTAGCGCCAGTTCAAGACTTATAGCTTGTTCATCGAGAAGCCCCAATGCTGCCAAATAATTCAATTCCTGCGTTTTTAGTATATCGATAGCATTTTTATCCTTGATGCTGGAAGAAGAGCGGAAATGCTAACTCAACTTCACCGTCGTCAGTACCGAGCTAG